GTTTATGTTTCATATACAACTCATACATGTAGCCTGAATGCAATTTGAAACAACATTTTTGCATGAAGATAATTTCAAATAATGTTTTTTTAGTATGTCTAAAAAAACTTTGAGACCAACACATAAGGTTAGGTATGGAATTTTCCACTTCTGACACCTTGTCAGTGGTCAGAAGTTTTGGATTTTTCAGCATTTTGTTTTTAAATTTTCAGAGAAGGAATAGTCAACCTGTAATGCTTTCTCAATATACTGGTATTCGAGTGAGGTCAGAAAGAAACAGAGTGCCTGAGGCTGAGTACTAAATCTCTAAAGGCATACTTATTCAATGTGTTGTATTGTCCTTTTAGTTACAATGGAGAAACAAAGTTGGTTTGAACTTAATTAGTTTTTAATCTATTCTAATTTGTTATATTTATGATTCATATTACACATATAGAGCAGATTTTTTCATATCTCTGGTTGTACACAAAGTAGTGTTACACCATTCTTGTCTTCATACATGTACTTAGTGTAATGATGTCTATTTCATTCCATGGCTTCTCCTACTCCCATGCGCCCTCCCTTCCCCTCTTATCCCTCTGCTCTATCTAGTGTTCCTCTAATCCTCCAATGTTCCAACCCCCAACCCCATCATGAATCAACCTCCTTATATCAGAGAAAACATTCCACATTTGGTTTTTTGGAATTTGCTAATTCACTTACCATTATATTCTTCAACTTCATCCATTTACCTGCAAAGGGCATTATTTTATTCATTTATATTTCTAAATAATATTCCATTGTGTATATATACCATATTTTCTTTATCCATTCATCAGCTGACAGGCTTCTAGTTTGGTTCCACAGTTCAGCTACTGTGAATTGTGCTGCTATAAACATTGATCTGGCTATGTCCCTGTAATATGCTACTTTTAAGTCCTTTGGGTATAGATCAAGGAGTGGGATAACTGGGTCAAATGGTGGTTCCATTCACAGTTTCCCAAGTATTCTCCATATTACTTTCCATACTGGCTGTACCAGTTTGCAGTTCCACCAGCAAAGTATGAGTGTGCCTTTTCCCACACATACTCACCAACATTTATTGTTGTTTGTATTCTTCATAGCAGCCATTCTGACTGGGGTGCGATGAAATCTTAGAGTAGCTTTGATTTGYATTTCTCTAATTGATAGAGCTGTTGAACATTTTTTCATGTATTTGTTGATTGATTGGATATCATCTACTGAGATGTGTCTGTTCAATTCCTTGGCCCATTTATTGATTGGGTTATTATTATTTTTTTGGTGTTAAGATTTTTGAGTTCTTTAWATATCAAAGAGATTAGTGCATATGGTAAAAATTTGCTCCAAAAATGTAGGCTCTCCGTGCACCTCACTGATTGTTTCTTTTGCCTCTAAATTACTCTATAATGTGTATCTCCCTCACCCTCTCCCTTTCTACTTCCTAATTAGGAACCTTTCTGTCCAGAGGTCTTTTGTGTATTGCACTCTGGTGGCTGCGCACCTGCCGTGGAGGGCTGTTTTGTATTGGGCAGCCACTCTGCGGAGTTAGCTGCTGCTGGAGATTGGGGGTATTAGAAACTATGTGTACCTGTCTATCCAGTGTTCCAAACAGCTTGTTGTCCCAACTAAAGATGGTAATGGAGGTGACCCAAGATGAAGGCTGCTGCTTTCAGCGATGGGGTTTTGGGTCAGGTGGGGGGAGCCAGGTGATAGCATTGTGCGAACCTGTCAGAGATGGGTCTGTAGTGTGCAGTGTTGTGGCTGTTGACTTTCTTCAGAGCCTGTGAATTCCCCAGTGCAGGCAGGCTATCTTGAGTAGGGGACTATGGCAGTAGCTGCTGAGTCCCAAGATGTAGGCAACCAGGCAAGTCCCACTGGTAGGTGGGGGTCTACTTGGTAGTGTTGACTGGAGTTCCTGCGTGTTGACAGTGACTGAGTGTTCTGCGTGGGAGTGGTGTCTGGGAATTCTGCACGCTGGTGCTGATGCCAGTGGTCACACTAAGGTACCCTTGAGACCCGTGTGGGCGAGTAGTCCCAGTYGAGAGTCCGGCAGCTCTAATGCTGAGATTGGGACCCTGCGCAGCATGGTGGCCAGGATTAGCAGTGGAGGGGGTCCTCTATAACTCTAAGCAAAGCAGTGTTCCCACTTGTTGAGACCTGGGTCACAAAGTGTCACAGAATGCAGGCCTGCCATCTTGGATCCCCCTGAAATAAAATATTTTAATAACTAAAAACTAGGTGTTATAAAGTATCTTCAATGTGAAGATGAAAATTTACATATAAAACACATTTAAAAACCCATTATCAATATTATAATTTTTATCTCATTAGATAGATTAATTAAATAGATGCTGATGTAAATTCCTACTTGTTATTATATCTTAAGATTTTATTTTAAAATCTTAAAAGTTTTTGATGTTAGCTGAACCTAATTTTTGTYTCCCAAATTTAGTACCAATTTCTCAAAAAGTATGAGATTATCTATATATAATAATAGGTAGTAAGAATTAGTACACAAGAAAGTTAGAATAGTACAAACCAGTTCCTAAATCAGTCTCCAAAAATGTGTGGCATAGTTTTATATTTTATGTTCTCCACAGAAAATAGAACCATTATAAATACACATGGTATATTGATTTATTTAAATCGTAAACATTTGATGTTGTTATTCAATCAAGTGTGGCATTATCATTAAAATTTAGCATCACTTGACATTTTGGAAATACAATAAACTTGTTTATATTGATAAGTTATAAGGTGTTACATTATGCAAATATGACAGAATAGATACAGAACATATATCTTACATACCGGTACCATTTTTATTTTGTAATTCAAATTATTTAAGAATGGTTTGCCTTCTAGAAATCATACAATTTTATTTTATAGGAAATTAAAGAGGGGTCTCAGATTTGTCTTTGTCCTTCATTTATTTAGACTTTTTTTTTTAATTGAACTACCTTTTTTTTTTTTTTTTTTGAAAACACAGTCTCAATGCCAAGCTGCAGTGAATACTTGAATGGTTGTGGGAAAAGTAAATTCAGAGAATAGCAACTATGTATAAATAACTTTTATTTGTGAGTTCTATAGACAAATCCTTTTTTAGGCACTTTACATTTCTGACTTATTTTAAATAGCATTACATACTAGTTAATTAGATACTGTTAGCCCCACCTTACATACAAGGAAGCTATCCCAAAGAAGCAGTAGAAGCACGTTGGAAACCTGATTTAATTTCACTTACTTATAATCTCCCTCTTTAAGGACTTACCAGTTTGGGAACCATTGATTTCTGTTACTACTGGCATATCTATTATTTTATTATTATTTTTTATTTTTTTRTGGTACTGCAAATGAAACCCAGGGCTTTGCATAGGCCCCACAATTGCTCTATCTTTGAGCCTATATCCAATTGCTCTACCCCATCCGTTATTCTTTCTATTATGAATTTCTTAATTTAATGATGAAAAGGGAAATGCATATATAAATTATGTACATGGTTCAATTTTTAAGACTTTAAAGGGAAATGCTTTGAAAATAACCTAAATAAGACATAGACTGAATAGTGTCATGCAAATATATAGACTAAGATTTCCAAACTGTTTATTTTATATTCTCTCCCACCTTGGGAGTCTTTTAAAGTACTTTTTCCTAATCATAATTCCATTATAAATTTAATACCATAGATTTGCTGTGTACCTGTTTATGTGTTATAGCTCTTTGGGGCAACATTACTATCATTGAGAAAGCATGGTATAGACTACTGAAGATTTGAGTCAGTCAGCTATAGTCTAATAAGACAGTGACTCACAAAACAGCATCCCCTGGACCAGAAACAGGGCATCAGCTAGGATTTGTTAGGCATGCAAATTCTCAGGCCTTACCCAAATCTTCAGAATTAGAAATTCCAGAGGTGGGTGGCGCCATGCAGTCTCTTTTAATAAGCCCCCTGGTGATTCTGATGTGTGCTGAACTAGGTAACTCTGGGTATTGACAGGTTTCTGAAAGATGAGTCCAACATTGAACAAGTTACTTTATTTGTTCGTTTTTCCATCTTTATTCWGCTCACATAACTCTTGATTTGACACCTCACACACGTACCTTCTCAATTTCACTCATCAGAGGTCCTACTGAGAATCCACCTGGATTCCACATGGATAGAAAAAGCATCTTCAATAGCACTTCTCTACTTTGAAAAAAATGTTTTAAGAACAGTCAACATACTAGTTCAGATTACATTGACAAAGACCTTCATCCCCCTGCCCAAAGTGGAAAATAATCAAATAAATAAATGTTAACATTCTATGTAAATCAGTATCTTTATATAGATATGAAAAAACAGAGAATCTTATTCCTCATTTTATGGCAGAACAAATTTTAGAAGAGACAGGGAAGAAATGGAAATTCGTCAGGAGGAGTGGGCTTGTTTCTCTTTCTTCAGATTTACATTTAAATATTTGTACTTTTATAAAAGGAAGAATTTGTTAAAAGTATTTCTTAGTTCCACAGTTTCTCTAGCTTTCTTTTCTTCTACATACTATTCTAATCTGTACTTGCACAGATTGGCTCACCCACTTCATTGACTTTTTTCCAGCTTCAATATGCACAACCTGTTAATAATTGGAATTTTTATTTTCAAATGTGGCACAATTTAAAAGAAAGYTTAATTTATAGGAATAAAAGCATAAGAAGACCAAGCTACTATAGGCAGAAAACTCATACGTCACCTACAATAGGGCATGCAAAACCTAGAATGTGACAAATCTTAAGATGCCATGATCTATAAACTTTCATTCCAGTTCCAATCAAAGACTCCTTGACTTAKGGATTTGACAAATGTGAATAGCTGATAAAGGAAACTCAGTGTTGGTACAAGAAAAAGCTTCATGTTGACTTAAATATTATATGTGTTAGCATCTATATTTGAAATAAAGTCAAATATTGTATAGATTTTTTAAAAAATCTTCAAGTGTTTTTTTCTCCATTCTGTTTTGTTTTAGATGGAGCTGGCTAAAGAAGAAAAGTGTGAATTTTTGCCTTTCCTTTCCCCACGGAAAGTTATARTAAAAGGTGGAAGAATTGTTGCAATGCAATTTGTTCGGACAGAACAAGATGAAGCTGGAAAATGGAAAGAAGATGAAGACCAGATAGTCCAACTGAAAGCTGATGTGGTCATCAGTGCCTTTGGTTCAGTTCTGAGTGATCCTAAAGGTACATTGCTTGGGAGATGAAATGTGTTATGCAATTGCCTGTTATTTTAGTGCCCCAATAGTTTCCAGCTTTCAGGAAATTGATTTTCACCTAAACACCCATTTTTCTTCTTCTGGTGAGGAGTACAAGCGATCTTGATATAAAATACTTAAAAGTTTTCATTAACATGCATATAGAATTATTTTTAAAGTGGTAAAAAGAAAAAAGAACATTAATCTTTCTTTTAAGCTGACAGCCAAAACACATATTCCACTTTATAAAGATGTTTGCCTTCTTTTCTATTTAGCAATGATTGTTTCTTCAACTGGACTAATTTAAGAAAATGTAGCAGAGGTTGGAACAGCCAATCTTCAATGTTGCAGACAAATAAGGATCTAATGAATGACCAAAACCAAAATTCATGTTTATTACCATAATCATGCCAAACCCATCACYAGAACATCAACTTTATCAAATTATAAAGTTCACAAAGTCCCTTGTTTAATCTGGATGGCATAACTAGATGAGCTRAGGAAGAACAAAATGCTTAAAAATACAATGGAAAAGAAAATGTTTTATATAGCATTTTAGTTGAATAGTTCATTGTGTTATACTTCCTCTACATTTATATTTAGTACCTTTGTGGCCTATCATTGATGAAAGTTGTAATACCAAGGCACTTTGATTTGGCACTTTGATCTGCCTTTTAATTCACACTGTTCAAATGACAACATTTCTGAAAGGGAAATAAAAGATGTTTTTCTAGCTAAGAGATACATTAGGAATAATGATAACAAAATATTGAAACCTGAGGATTCCTGTAATGTACTACTATACCCATGCAAAAAGTATGTATTGTTTCTGAAACAGGAACAGATGCATTCCTGCAAATGTGCAGTTTTATGCAACAGATAAGTAAAAATTGAACTAGTCATTAAGATATTTTATCTGTAGGATAACAAACTTCTTGGTATTTTGAAACACCCAGATGTTTAGTGTCATGAAGATAAATGTTTTCAAATAGCTGGATGATGGCCTGAATTTGTCACTTTTCATCTAATGTTTATATGCTATGTAAACATAGTCACAGTGTAGTTTGTTTATTCATTAACTGAKTTCAAACAGGAAAAAAAGAACAACGTGTAAATTGCATTCAATTATCTAAAAAACTCATAATGTTCTTACTACTCTACATACCACCAAAAATTAAGTAAAATGGTAAATCATGTTTAACTAGAAATTTTGTTGATGGGTTAACTATCAAAGAATAATTTGGCTCCCCTATCTAAATTTATGTTCCACAAATGGCAATGCTAATATAAAAATAAAAAGTGTCTTTCCCTAAACAAACCTAAGTTATTAATTCAGACACAGAAAACAGCTTTKGTAATCCCAGATTTTGATGTTTATGCTTATATGTGTTTGTGTTTTTAATGTGTAAATAGATTGATAGAACTTCATATATGTGAAGAATTAGAGGTTTAATTTAGTACTTAACATATGAAGTAAAAGAAACACTTGATCTATTTATTGATAAAGCCATTGCAGAACTTGTCTGTGTATTTTATCCCAATGTTCCAATGTTCCCCATGTACTATCTCCTACCCCACATAAGTTTCGAGAAGTCAAGGAAAACATAGTTTTTCACTGTGCTTTGCACCACCTCCTGATTTGAAATAACAAACCACCTGGAGAAATGATTCTTAAATAAAAATCCCCTGTTTTACCAGGGCCCTGAATGTTTACATGAACGGGGAGCAACTTTCCAAGTGAGGAGAGYTGGAAGAGTTCGAATGTTAACTTGCATTCATGCTTTTCTGTTCCCATCCATATACTTCTCAGCTGTTTTTAGATGGAAAACATTAATGAAAAAGGAAGGGGCAACAGTTTTTGTTAAAGTTGATCAGGAAAATTTTTACTAAATGACATTTAAAATCTTAAAATACTAATTTCAAAGTTAGAAAACTCTTACATACACACACATATTTAAGGTATGGTGAAAAAACGGTTTGCTGTAAGAAAGCTATCCGTTTAGRTAAGATGATATTCATGTTATCCCTCTTCTACCTCAAATACTGTCCCCTCTTAATACTCATGTGGCAAGACTTCTATATAATGCCTATGTGATTAGTACATATGTGATATCTATTTAAATATATTTGTCTCTAACTCTCCCTTAAAATGCCAGTTCTTCTTTTCTACTCCCTGTCTTTCCTCTTCCAACCTCACTTTGCACAGACCCTAATGAATTGATGGCCAAAGACAGTGATATCTTTTCACTCCTATTCACTTTTCTGCATTTGACAATGTTAAATATTTCTTTCTGTTTTAAATGCTCTTCTCCAATCACTTAACCTTTCAGTAGCTCAGTTTCTCCATATATAAAAAGCAAACAACAACAACAACAAAAAAATAAAGCATAATAAAACCTTCTCTCCCTACCTCTTAGGACTTGTTAGATTAAAATTAAGTAATATGAAGTGCTTTGAAAATCAAATTGTAACACATTATTATTATCACACTCCATTTCCCAGCTTTTTCTTTTAGCTGCTCACTTCTAAGCCCATCACTGGGTGCTGTCCCTCCTCCAAATATTACTTTTTAGTTCTTTGCAAAGTTCAGACATTAGCCATTTTTTTCTTCCAAATATACTATTCATTCAGTGAGCCGACTGTGTCGTTCATTCATTCAGATATTTGTTGTAATCATTCCTCAAAACATGTTAATGATCCAGATGTGGTAATAAAGGAGGATCCCAAGTTCAAAGCCAGCCTAAGCAACTTAGCAATAATCTCCTTCGAAATAAAAAAAAATAGAAAGTTTGGGGGTATGGCTCAGTGGTTAAGCACTTCTGGGTTCAAACCCTGGTACCAAAATAAAAGAAAGAAAGCAACATATTAATAAATTTATTTTGAGTACCAGTTTGGTGGCTAGACTTACGATAGTCATGATTTCACTTCTGTGTACACTGTCTCTGAAATCTAGTTTTTCATGTCTCTGAAAACCTTTTTGTCTCATATTTATGTTTATGTATGCAATAAATACTCAGTGAGTATCTGGTGAATGCCAGAAGCTAAATTGTATTCTGAAGAGTACAAAGATGAATGAGTCATTTCCTGTACTTGAGAACTACACAGATGGGGAATGGAGCAGACCTATAAACTACTAATTGCATTATGAAGAGACGAATTCATTGAGAGAGATACACAAAGTAAGGAATGCTATCCTTATCAGGTTTCCCTAAAGCAGATCTACTCTCAACTTTGCTGTTACTGTACATGGTGCCTTAATTCTTCCCATGGTCTTAATTCAAAATGTTATTACAGTCCTATATTTCTAAATTTTCAGTTTTTCTTTTTACTCACCAATATTACATTAAACTATAGAATAAAGCTCTTTTTAACATCGATGAAACTCAGTGAATGGCCTATGTATACTATATATTCATCTTTATTTTGCACTGTTCTCTTTTGAATTTTTCCTCCCAGTATGCAGTGCAGTGTGAATTCCATAGTTCTAACTTGGAAATTTTTGATGAATGCATTATATAAATATATGTTGAAGAATTCAAGGAATGAAATAAATGACAGAGCACATATAAAGTACAGTCATAATTTTTACTCTCAGCAATATCAGATTACAATAATATTTTAAATGGAAATACTTTTTTTTTAAGAGAGAGTGAGAGAGGAGAGAGAGAGAGAGAGAGAGAATTTTTAATATTTATTTTTTAGTTCTCGGCGGACACAACATCTTTGTTGGTATGTGGTGCTGAGGATCGAACCCGGGCCGCACTCATGCCAGGCGAGCGCGCTACCGCTGAGCCACATCCACAGCCCCTGGAAATACTTTTAGAATATCAATTATATCAATAATGTGTATTTGAAAAGGTAATCCAAGTCGGGAAATTAAATTTTTAATCTAAACTTTTTCCTCTGATATATTTCAGGGCATTTGCCAGACTCTGAATTGGGCTTTTCACAAAGGAGAACCTATACTGACTTAATTTAGAATGATGCACCAAGTCAATCTGTATTAAATATTTCCTATAATAAAAATAAAAGTGCTTCAACTACTTATATAAATGTTAAGTATATCAAATTTATAAAATAAAATCAGAGAATATCCTTGTATTAGAGTAGCAAATTATTTAATTGCTACTAGGGCTAACAGCAATTATAATCATCACTGTTTTTCCTAATTCTGTATTTTTATTTACTTATTGTTTTCTGTTTGGGTATGTAGCAGTGAGTGGGAAATAGGAACAAAATACTACATATTTCACACCCTGTGCTTGTGTGCTTATGTGCACACTTTAATTGAATCTTTCATTTACTACTGTCTCAAATAATGAAGGCCATGGTTTTCAGTTTTCTAATTCAATTGAGATAATAATGCTAGCCTTATTTAATATCTTTTCTGTGGAAAACTGAAAGTAGTTCTATCTTTAAAAATTCTCYTCTATTCCCTCTAAGTATGTAAAATTTCAAATCACATTAAATTGTTCTACATTAATTTTAAAGGCTATCAGAAAATTGAGCACAGATTACTTCTTTTACTTTCAATCCAGAAATATCCTCCTCGACTGGAAGATTATACCTATCTATCCTTCTTTCTTTTCTTCTTTCTTTACCCCAGAGGCAATTTCTCCTGTTACATCTGAATGCTAATTGTTTTTAATTTTAAATTTTGTCTCTTTTTGTTTAAAAAATGTCAACTTTTAAGAGACATCTTACTTATCTTTATAGTTGACTTTCCTGTTTATTTGTTTGGAACCACACTGCCAGCTGTAAGTGTGTATACCTTTTTTATTAGTTTTGAATTGATAAGGGGTAGACTTGCCCATCTTCACTAATCTCATGCTTCATTTTTCCAATGAGGCATTAAGTTGGCCTTGTCCTCACACCCCCAGGAAGTTAGAAGACATMATTTATGGTTCTTTGAATGATTTTCAGACAACTGAAGAATGCCCTTTAGCCAATGCCATAATCTCAGCACCTTTTCCAAATGCTGCATCACAG